TTGAGGTCCTCATCTATCCTGTTCTGGCTTTACCAACATCACTGTGGGAAGATTCATGTGAAGGTGTGAAGGGTTAATATGCCAAGGGAAGGAACTGCATTGCATGTGATACAAAAGGTTGAAGTTATGAGGGGAGAAAAAAGTGACAGAGAAATACTATCAGCAGTTGCCTGTGCTGAAGTGCTGCAAACGTGGCTAAGTCTTCGTGAATACTGGAGGTTGCATCTGAACTTCAGTTTCTGCCTAGGCACTAGACATAGATACCATTCACAACCTGAAACTGAACATATGAACACCTGTGGTAAAACAAATCCTTGCTCTGAGGCACATGTGCAAGGGAATGAACTGGATTAATTAATCCCTGCTTGAAAATTTGGAGCCAAAAAGCATGAATCAAGGGTGTACCTGGAGTTCTCTCCTAATATCAAAAGGAGTGTGACCAGCAGGTCAAAGGAGGTAATCCTGCCCCTCTGCTCTGCTCTCGCGAGACTCACTTGGAGTATTGTGTGCAGTTCTGGGGTCCTCAACATCAAAAGGACACGGAACTGTTGGAACAAGTCCAGAGGAGGCCATGAGGATGATCAGGGGACTGGAGCACCTCCCATATGAAGACAGGCTGAGAAAGTTGGGGCTGTTCAGCCTGGAGAAGAGAAGGCTGCGTGGAGACCTCATAGCAGCCTTCCAGTGTCTGAAGGGGGCCTATAGGGATGCTGAGGAGGGACTCTTCATTAGGGACTGTAGTGACAGGACAAAGGGTAATGGGTTAAAACTTGAACAGAGGAAGTTCAGGTTAGATATAAGAAATTCTTTCCTGTAAGGGTGGTGAGGCACTGGAATGGGTTGCCCAGGGAAGTTGAATGCTCCATCCCTGGCGGTGTTCAAGGCCAGGTTGAACGGAGCCTTGGGTGACATGGTTTAGTGTGAGGTGTCCCTGCCCATGGCAGGGGGGTTGGAACTAGATGACCTTAAGGTCCTTTCCAACCCAAAGTATTCTATGATTCTATGATTCTATATGGACTTAAACTGTCTTAAAGAATAAGGTCTACTAAAGTTACAAAGTCACAAATAGATCAACACACCATCCACTTTGAAACCCCTTAAACCTCTCTGCGAGTATTATTAACAATCAAATATAAACATTAAATACTTAATACAAGACAGAGGTATTTCTCATTCACCCACCCTATTCTCAAACACTTCAGCCACCTATAAGAAAACGGGGAGCAGGTCCTATCAGATGTTGTAAAAGCCTGTTTACCCTTGAGTTCTTCTTGGTCCTCACATGCATCTACAGCAAAGTCTGAAAATGTTGCTTTATCTCTGCAGAAGCCAGCTGAGCATCTACAGCATCTATTAACTCACAGCAGAGCTTACATAAGATGCAGACAACATACTCAAAGAGCAGTGATTTAAAACCAAACCATTTGGTTTGTTATACATTTATACTCCTTCTCACCCCCTTCCAAGCTAGTATGATTTGGGGAATTCCTTTGTAACAAAGATGTTTCCTTTATCTTGGATGTTTTTGCAGCCCTGGTTACCAGGAGAAATGTAATTTCTCAGCTGTGTTGGTTTGTTTTTTTTTCTCCCCAGTAGCAACGAGATTTTCTACTTCTGTGCTACAGCAAAAAAAGAAAAAAAAAAAGAAGAAAGAAGAAATAAAAGGGAAAAAAACACCAAACCCACTCTCTTGTGAGCCTCTGGTTCAGCACAGTTCCTCCTTCTCCTGAAACACTCACAACCCTAGGATTTGCTTATATTGGAAAAACAGGCCACATTGGGAAATACGTGCCCCACACACAGCCAGAGGCAAGGGCCCTGAGAGCATCACCCCCTTCCTGGAGGTCTGACACCCTGGGCTCACTGATAGTACAGAGATAGTACAGCTGAGGGCTGCCCCTTTCCCTGCAGCGACCTTGGAGGCAGGGCTGCAGGGAGACCTCAAGGAGGCTCTGGTGCTGGGCTCTGCCTGAGCTACCACTGCAGCTCTGTGACAGCCAGGCCTGTATCTCCCTGGACCTGCTGACCAGCTTCTTGGCCAGATCTCAGACCTGCCTCACTGCTATGGACTTGCCTGCTGATCATGGGGCTGTGTCCAGCACCAACTGCTGTCGCTTGACCTGACTCATCAGACCTATCCCGTCACCCTGTACTTGTCCAGCAATCTGGACTATCCATTGACCCCAGCTGCCGTTTCTAGGCGTGCCCTGCTCACCTTGCACAGATCCTGTGGGATGAGGCCCTGGCCAGTGAGGTCTGTGCTCCACTGGCCATGTCCCAGCACTCAGCTCCCTGTCCTTTACAGAGCAGCTGGCCCTCACTGTCCCCTGATGCCAGAGTATTGTGGCACATACAGGAATACCAGGCTACTTCCTCAGACCCATGGTTTGTCTAGATCAGCATATTGTCTCTTACAGGACTAGTTCTTTTTTTCCAGAATACATGCTGCCATTTAAGAACAAGATCCAAGTAGAAGTGAAAAGGGAAAACAGTATACCCGTCTTTATCAAAGGGTCTGAGTGAAGAGTTATAAAGCAACTGACCTCCCTTTGTTATTTGAACAGATAATGGAACAAGCTGTTCGGCAATCAGTGTGCAAGCAATTAAATAACAATAAAGTAATGAGAAACAGGCAGTGTGCATTTGTCCAGAACAAATTATGTCGAAGTAACCTAATTTATTTCTTTGCTGAGATAACTGACTAAGTAGGTCCTGAAAGGAATAGATGAAATGTCTTTTGACTTCAGTAGGGCTTTTGACATTGCCTGGAACACCACCCTCCTAAAGGCAAATAGGTCTCAGGTGGTATTAACATGAGAGGTATGTATCATTTAAAAACAATTCCCAAACTGTAGCAGTGGCTATTTTGCTGTCTATAGGAAGGTACATCAAATTATGAGATCTGATCTGTCTGCTAGGGTTGATTACTTTAACTAGTGACTGACCTTTGATGTCAAACTTCTGCAAATAACAGGGAGTCAGGCAGTACCACACTTTGGAGGCAAAGATTTGAACATCACTAAATGGCAGAAAGAGCCTCAAACCGGTGAGATGAAACTCAGTGAAGACAAGAACAAAGTATTACACTTCTAAAAGCTGAATTCTCAAATTTAAAACAAGAAAAAAATGTGAAGCCTTTGGTAAGATACCAAAAAGTATATCCTCTCAGGGCAAGTACTTTAAGAAATCTGTAATTATACATTGGAAAATGTGGACTATATAAAAAGCCACTTCTTCATCATGAGGACAGCATGACTGGGAAGGGACAGTGCACTGATAACACAGTGATCTCCCAATTTGAAATACACACAGCACCAAATGACACAAAAATCATTTGCAGCAGTCAAAACTACCTTGATTTGCAGAATACTGGCCTTGTGCCATCTGTCATACTGCTCTGAGCAACCTGTCATGGCTCTGATGTGCTCTCCCTGTGCCATACCTCCTCCTGTTGCATGAAGCCTCTCTTCTCTGGGAAAAGATGTTGCTAAAGGGCTGCTCACCCTGCCAGAGGGCAGTGGGTGAGAAGGGAGCTATAGATTCAGGAGCTCAGGGCTCCACAGGGTGAGGAAGGGAAGCCACAAGTCTCCCAGTGCCACCACTGCTTGAAGTCCCCTCAGGACAGGTCATACTGTGTCCCAGTAAGAGGCAAGACAGAGTCACAAGAGCTCAGAGGTGACATTGCACAGGTCTCCTGGTCTGCACAGCATAATAATACAGGCTGAGAGGCAAAACCTTCCTGTTTGAGTGTCCATCTTCTAGCAGAGCCCAAATATGTTTTTGCCCTCAATGCTACCCCCTCCTGGGATTCTGCGAAAAGGCAGGGTGACTTGAACAGCAGCCTGCTTCAGGACAAACACTGGAAATCACTGACAACTGTTTTGGTTTTGTTTCTTTTGGCAGATATCACACAAAGGCTCGAAGATCAAAACTACAGCGTAACACATGCTGGCTCTTTTCACTGAGCTTTGCAACTTTTCCTCTGAAGATGCCAAGTGACCCCCAGGAAATCTCTCAGTCTTGAAGCCAAAACCTAAGCTTGTAAAACTTCTGTGGCCAGCATCACCACCGTTGGAGACTGCAGACTGGCTTTATAAAACGGGGTCTCCTGCAAGTTCATCCTCAGTCAGAAAAACCTTTCTGGTTGCCTTCTAGTAACGATCTATCTTCTCTGACTTAGAAGTGCATCTCTGCCATGGCATGTGACACATTTCCCAGATGTGTTTTCAGCAGAACACAGAAGGGTTAAGCCATGCAAGAGACCCCTGGAGCTTTCGCAGCCCAACAGTATCTCTCCCACCTTGCTGAAAAAGGTTAAGGGTATCACAGTCATAGCAGTTTCACGAACGACTCAAAGAATGCAAGATGTACCAAGCCATGCTTGAATTAACGAAATTACGTTTTGCTGCAGCCTCTCACACCTTCGGACAGAACTAAAAGACGAGGGCATTTATCCCAAAGTTACGAGCAGCCAAAAATGAAGGCTGGGGGCGGCCCCGTGCAAGATACATTGCAGGTGCAAGCCGGCAGAGCGCTGACTCGGTGGGCTTGGGAGTGTTGAAGCCCCGCGGATGCTGCTGCCGCGGCCCCGTATCCATGTGCCTGACGGTGCCCCTGAGCTCACAGCACAGCTCCCCAGGGGGAAATGCTCCCTGACAACCATCTGCCAAAGCCGGCTCAGAATTTGGGGCCGGGCACAGGCAGGAGACCCTCCTCCCCGGGGCCAGCCCGCCGGACTCCCTTCCCTTTCCTCCCTCCCCTTCGCCTCCGGCCGGGCTGCAGAGGGTCCCTCTCTGGACAGGGGTGTGGGACTGCTCCCCCCTCGTGTGGCTGAGCTGTTCATTTAAATTGCAAATACAGCGGCTCAGCGCCCGCCCAGCTGGCGGGAGGTGGGTCCGGGTGCTTCACCGGTCGGCCGGCCGGCGTGAGGTTGATCCGTGGGACTGGCAGCGGCGCGGACGAGCCCATGGCCCGGGGGACGGCCCCGGCCTCCGGGGCTTCGCTCTGCGCCCTGCTCTGGGCAGCGGCGGCAGCGGCGGTGGCCGGCCCCGAGGGCAGCCCCGCACCCGGCGCCTTCGGCCGTGTCTACCGGGGCAACGTGAACATCAGCGCGGAGCGGGTCTACGCCTTCGCTTACCGCAGCCAGCCTGGGCAGGTAGGAGCTTCCCGCGGAGCGCCGGCTTCCCCGCGGCAGGGACGTGTACCGGGGCCCCTCGCCCTCTTCCCGCCGATGTGGCCGGAGGTGGGGGGAACCGGCGCCGCTGCGTCTCCGCCGCTCTGCGGGAGGGGGCCGGGCTGCCCCTCAGCGGCCGGGGGGTCCTGCCTGCATCCTCCTGCCGCCGCGGGAGCCGGCCGCGGTGCACCGGTGGGCTCCGCTCGTCCTCCCGCCGGCTTCCCTGGCACGGCCGGGACACACGGGGCTGAGGGGCCAGAGGACACAGGGTGGGCGGTACAGCCTCCCGCATGGGGGTTTGGTAGCCAGTGCTGCCAGCAGCAACATGGGCTTAAAGTCTAGAAGGGAATTAAGAGGATAATAGTACTATCTAAAATACATATATCTATATAAAAGGGGTGTGTGTGTTTGTGCAGTTAATAAGCCTTTTAAAATACCATTTCCCACGCTTTAACACTCCTGTAGGATCAGGGTTCGCTCCCCTGGAAGGTGAGACAAGTAAGGTGCTATGTGAGGAGGCTGCCCAGCAGCACTGCTAAAGCCATGGCTTAGTGATGGGGGGAGGAAACCTCTCATAGCTATTGCGGCTTTTTTCCCCTTCCCCCCCTTTTTAATGTCGTGTTTATCTGAGGAGCTAAGTGGTACCTTGGAAACTGTCCCCGTTGTTTGGATTGGGTTTTAATTGCTGGGCAGGATGTTCTGATGAACCAAAAAGATGGTGAACCTGGCAAACGAATCTTTGCTCCTGTCCTCAGCTGCACAGGACACGAACAATTGGAAAATGCAGCTTTTCCCACACTGTATTTGTCATATTTCAATATGAAGGGAGTTGGTAGAGAGCATGATAAAAGGGGGAGGAGGTGAAGCAGGGGGAGATAGTGTTAACCATCCCTTTGGGAGGCTTTGCTTTACTCTGAAATTCCAGAGCTTTAAAGACTCCTCTTTCTTCTATTACGTGTGTTACTATGTAATAAAATGCAGCTGGTATTTATGGGGCAGGAGTTGCGTGTCAGGGCTGTGACGCAACTGAGCCCAGCATTACTTACCTCTTAGGTGTCACTACTGAACCCAGTAGGCCAAAAGCATGCTTTGGGCATGAGCCTCTGTGTGGAAGCTGATGGTGATGTGCATTAGGCTTTTTCAGGTGTTACACGTATTGGGTATTAGGATGAGAGTCTGTTGGCAGACCATGTGTTAGTGGGGCTTGTTAGTAGTGACAGCTCAAGTACTGACTGCAGCCAAAATGAATCTAGTTCTTTTGATTTAATGTCTGTTAGTGTGTGTTTGCCAGACACGTTCCATAAAGAAGGAGATCTAGGGTGATGGCAGAGTGGGAGGAGGCAGTCAGGGAGCACATGGCTGCTCCGTGGTGTTTGTGGGCATTGAAATGCATTTGTTGCTCAATGGCACTAGACCATTCCTATGGCTGTGAAGAGCCACCTAGTCCAGACTACTGCTGCATTTAAGCATAAACTTGAGTGGACTGATCTCCATGTTCCTGTGTGCTGGAACGTGAAATTTCTGCAGAGATGCTGAGCAGGTCAAGGGCATATCTAAGATGGGAAACCTCTGGTTTGAGGCTTAATATTTTTTTAATGCAGAACTCTCTAAGCACTGCCAGGAATGTGCTTTAAAAGGGTCATGCAATCAGCTCCTGCTGTGAAACCTAATTTGGAGGAGAAAGACCACTTAAAGATTGACAGTTCCAGGTTTTCTGGCATGGGATGCCCAGAACAGGTTGTGAGGATAGAGAAGGTCCTAGAGAAGAGAATGCTCCAGGGAGACCTTATTGTGGCCTTTCTGTATATAAAGGGGTCTTATCAGAAGGATGAAGAGAGGCTTTTTACAAGTCTGTAGTGACAGAACAAGGGGCTACAGCTTTGAAATGAAGATAGATTTGAGTTGGATGCAAGGAAGAAATTTTTTTACAATGAGAGTGGTGAGACACTGGAACAGGTTGCTCTAAAAAGTTGTGGATGCCCCATCATTGGGAGCATGCAAAATCAAGTTGGACGGGGCTTTGAGGAACCTGATCTAGTGAAGATGTCCCTCTGCCCATGGCAGGGTGTTTGGACTAGATGATCTTTAAAGGTCCCTTCCAACTAAAAGCATTCTATGGTTCCTCACTGAGAAGCCCTACAGATGCTGTTCCTGAGCTGAAGCAGAAGCCTGCAAGAAGGTGTCTGGCATAACTAGGATAATAGCTGCAGGTATGCACAGCCCCCTTCCCCCTACAGCCCTGAACTAATGAGAGCCAAACACGGCTGGGTCTCCTCTTGCCAGCCTGGTCAGAAGCAGAAGTTGATCTGTTCTGGTGATCCTGCACCTCCCTGCTGATGAGGGTTGTTTAAGGTTTAGAAGCTTGATAGTGGAAATCTTGATTTTAATCTGGTACCGTGCTCTTGTGGGCAGGTATTTCTTGTGCAAAAGTTGTGTAGATACTTAGGGAGGTGCTGTCCTCTGGGTAGTTATTGAGTCTTCTGAAGGAATGTAAGTCCTGCAAAAACTCATTGTACTGGTGTTTGCCTTCCACTGCAATCTTTAGCCTTGAACTCTTAGTGAGTGAAATGTCAGCCATAGTTTGCCGGTTGCCTGCCACTTGCAAGCTCTCTGCTCATCTTGGGCTTTCTCAGTCTCTTCCTGTCTGTGCTGATGGCAGGTCAGCCAGAAGCCTCTGATACCTTGAGGCAGATACCACATGGACCATTAACCTGAGTTACAGGAAATATAATTGAATAAAAAGAGCATTTTCTATGTGGAAGGGTTGCAGTGGGTGAGTTTAATGGCTTTCCCTCTGAAGCAAAGTCAGGGCCAGAGTGGTCTGGCTCTGAAATGGATATTTTTTTTTTCCCTGAGCTGTAAGTTCTGCTGGTTTGCCCTCTCTGCTGTTCTCCCTCATGAGGGCAGCCCTACAAAGCAAGGGATGACATGGAGCCAAGGGTAAGATGTAAGAGCTGAGAACCCATGATTCTTTGGATTTGTTCTGGTTGCACATGTGCTATGGCTGCCTGGGCACATGTAACAGTGCAGCTGGATATAGCAAGTGTTTGAATGATGGATGAGAGAAAGGAAGTAATTATATTGTAAAACCATATAATCAGAGAATGGTTTGGGCTGGAAGGGACCTTAAAGCTCATCTAGTTCTAACCACCCCTGCCATGGGTAGGGACACCTTCCACTAGACCAGGTTGTTCAAAGCCCCATCCAGCCTGGCCTTGAACACTGCCAGGGATGTGGCATCCTGTTTGGTGCTTTAGAGACTTACCACTTTCTGAGAAGTGTTGTGCTTGCCTGATCTCAAAGGATGTTCTTCATCCACATAATCTTCCTTACTCCTTGGGATACAAGTATGCATGCACAAGGGAAAGGGAAAAGCAAGTCCTACCAGACTGTTGACGAGCAGATGCGTACAAGGTTAAGAAAGTACAACTTAGGCCTCTGGAGCACAGCTGCTTTGAGACAGGCAGATGACTTCCCTTCTGTGCAGCTCTTGGATGTGTAAAATGAAAATAAGGTTACTCGTATGCTGTTCAAGTCACCTAGCTGGAACTCTGATGCACATATATGTTGCCAGGTCTCTGTGTGTGTGGAGCGGGAGGAATCCTCCTACGTGCTATGCAAGCTTCATCTTGTGTCTTGAAGCGGGAGGTGTCAGGCTTTTTTTGTACTTGGCAGTTAGGACTTAATTCCTGAGGTGGAACTGTAGGGTGAAGCTGTGTAAGGAGAAGCACAGCCACCTGTGCCGCAAGTCTTCTCAAGATGGCCTGTGAACAGAGGGATGTGAGAAACTGCTTCCTCGTGGTGGAAAGTCTCCATTTGTTCTAAGGTAGCCTTATTGCATTTCTAGTTCCCTTCTCCTCCTGGCTGCACTTGGGAATCTTCCCCTCTGCACAGCTGTTTGTTTAATGTTTAACTGTGAGTGTAAAAAGGACAGTAATAAACCCAGCTGTTGTGCCTGTCACTGCACCCCTGTTCTAACAGCAAAGGCAGATGTGCACTATCACAAGTCTGGTTAACAGTTACTTGAGCAAATAGGATTACTTATTTTAGTATTGTTTAAACTGGAGTCAGTCAGGATGGGGAAAAAATGAGCACACTCATGAACATCTCCAATTCAACAAACTCAACTTGGGAGGGTGGAAGGAAGGAGAACGGATTTGCTGGGGCTACCTGTGCAGTGTGTTCCTACCTAGAAGACTGAACAAGAGTTGTAGAATGTTTCTGGTAGATTTACCATTGACTGGAGAAGCCTTTATGTGACAAGTGAGAGACCCTGCTTAGTTCTGTGCTTGCAAAAGGCAAAAAATGAGTGTGTGGGAGTACCAAAGGAATTCGAAGTGAATGACTCCACCTCTGTAAGCTCTGGTAGTTGCTAGTGGTTGATTTGCTGAAAACACAAATACCACTAATATTGTGTATGTGAGTATCTCCTGTACCATGTCCCAAGTGGCGTAGGACAGTATTATGAGGAAGAAGACTGCTGGAGACAACAAAAGTTCTTCCTAAGTTGGAGCTCAGGTCAGCTGTAGGCATGATTTGGGAAATACTTGATTTCCTAACTATAGTCCAGGTATCTCTCGGGAGAACAAGTTTCCATCTTTCCATTTGTAAGCAAAGCTGCTGTAATCCAGATACAGCTCTTGGACATTCATGCAGTGCATCTTCGTTGTGATAAGCCCAAAAGCTGAGCAGTGGGCTTGCACCTATATGATGAGCTCAAGCTGAGCAGTGGGCTGCACCTATTTTAGGAGAAAGAGTGGGTGATATTTTCCTCCTCTTCCTCCTCTTCCCTTGCCAGGACTAGGAACAGAGCCTCAGTATGTTACCATATGGCCCAGCCTTACTGTAAGCTGTGATTGGCAGTAGATTAAGCTGTGTCTTCTTGTGCCCTGTGAGGATGGGTAGCTCTGGAGTGCCTCTTTCCTATATGGAGTCTGTCTGAGGGATGGTAAGTAAGAAAGAATTACTCTCAGTGAATGAGT